GCCCCCCGTGTACCCCGGCCTGGCCCCCGCCCGGGGGCACGGCAAGGACGGAGAAACCCAGAGCCGAGAAGGGGATGAGAGAGGAGCATTTGGTCAGGCTTTTCGGTAACTGAAGTTTCTTCTGGCAGAGATGTGAAGACAAAGCATCACCATCTCAGGCCATTACGCTATTATCCTCCTGCCAATGCGGAAGCGAGCAGAGCACGACAGCTCTGCCCCGAGACTGGGCAGCTGTGCCAAAGCCGGAATTTGGCAACGTGACTTTGTTTTCCGAGAGGCCGCTCACCGTGGTGTGTCCTGCTCCTTTCCGGGTCTACCTGCCTTAGAAAGAGCCGTCACCATCCTCCCTACACTGCCTTACACGCAAAAGTATTTCCACTCGCAATTCCTGCTTGCTCATCTGATCTCCGGCATGTCTCAACACCCACCTCCTCCTGCAATGAGCAGCTGACAGAGATGGGACGTTTTGCTTTGTCCGTGAGACAAAAGAGCAGGTTTTTTTAGGGTTGGGCTGAATATAATCCTCCCAGTGACACTGAAAACCTCAAAAACCTCAGGTGCGATGCCCATCGCAAACGCAACTGGCACCTCGTGAAGCAATGCCCCGAGACCCCTTTGGGTCAGAACTCTTCCGCCCCACTGCCGGGACCTCCAGCTGCCCGAGAAGATCCATCCCGACAAAACCAAACCTGACGCCAAAAGGTGTGCCGAGCAAGCAGAGGTACAAGCTGTGTGTTCAGTGGTACCCAGACACAACGGGACGCGTTTTGGAAGCAGGAGAAGGAGCGGGCATCTCTGCGAGGGCACAAATCCCGTGGGTTTTATGTCAGCCCTTTAAAATCTGATCAGCATTTTTGTGGTTTACCAATAGAGTTTATAAGCTGTTCTCCAGTTTAATCATCACACGTATTTACAGGAAGCAGTAACAGCTACCGAGTATGAATTTCATGATGCTGAAATGATACTGAACAAACACTGCAGTCAGCAAGGGCTGAAAGCTGCACTTCTGCGAGTCAGAGTGGCTGGGGTTTAATGAGCTCTTTGAATTATCCTGGGGCAGAGATGAGAGAAATCAGATGTGGTCTAGGAAAGTATATACGCAGGAGCTTCTGTCCTCTGACTTTTGCACAGATCTATTTATTTCACGTACAAAAAAAAAAAATCAACTGGAACATGAACGCCATTAGTTTTTGAAGAAATTATTTTCACTATGAACCTAGGCTCGGTAAATCTGGTGGTTGTAAAAAGCAGCTCAAACATTTTCAGAGATAAAGAACAGCCCCTTGAATGTTAAATATACAAAAAAAGTCCCTTCAAAGGGTGAAAGATGTCTATAAAAATTGACTTTCGGAGAAATTGCAAGTATTCGTCCTAGCCTTCCACAGCCGCAGGATCAGACCCTTTGCACTAGTCCTGGGCTGACATTTCTCTGCCATCCCTACGAATGGAAACCAAACCAGCGGCAAGGGAAACAAACCTCCAGCAACACAGTAAGAGCAGCCACGCCAGCGCGAACCACCCAAGAGCCAACAGTTAATAGCTGTGAATCATCTTGATTCACTTGAGCCTGAACTCTTGACCTGCCAATTGAGTCAGTTCCTCTGGATGCTGCTCCTGCTCGGACAAGATGGGCTCCAGTGAACCACACCGCTGCCACGACGGCAGCGTTACCGCTCCTGGCACGCACGCCCACGTCCTTGCTGCAGGTTACGGAGCTGGCGTTAGGAATGCGTGTCTGCATCTCCGCCATCCAGGTCCCAGCCCACCCTACGGCCCCCAGCCGCGGGCAGCAGGCGCAGGCAGCGGGAGAGGTTCTACACCCTTTGAACACCCCCTGCTCCGTCCTGGGCGAAGACGTGACCCTTAGGAACCAAACCCAGGAGCATCTCACCTGGAAGAGGATCTGCAAGACGCCATGTACGATGCACATCCGCCGTCCCAGGAAGAGAAAGAACGGCACCACCAGCTCGATGAAGTGATTGACCAGGGTCTCGAACTGATGGAACCACCACGGCGAGCGATGCATGAAGTAGGCGATGGGGTTGGGCACTGGCTGTGTCTGAAAGAGGGAAGAGGAAAAGAATCAACCCTCCTCCAAGGCTCATCATCAGGGGGAGCTACAGAGCTCTTGGCCTTTTTCCTTATTTCTTTCCCCAAGTTTGCTCAGAGGAGAACCGTCTTTTGCCTCTGGGCACTCATTTCTTTTTAGAGAAAATTACTTCATTCAATTTTTTTCATGCAAACCCAAGGAATTTTTAAACCAAAACATCTTTTAAAAAACAAGAGTTTTAATTTTCTCTTTTCTCGTCATAACCAAACCCCACTCATCTTAAATTAAACCCACTATTATTTAATACTGAAATGTTACACATAGCTCGACACCGACGGATGTTAAATTGCTCTGCACGAGTGCTGAAGATCATCAGAGCAACTAAGCAGATACAGAAACTGAGAAAAAGATTTTCTCAGGGTCACACAGTAGGTCAAACAGAGCCAGGAATGGAAACCAGATTTCAAAACCTAGGAGGTATTCTTTCAAAATGTTTAAATTTGAAATAAATGTGGTGGTAGAGTTGCTTTCCAAAATCTTAATTTGGGAGAGGAAAGTGTAGTTCCTCTAAACATGCTATATTGGTTTAAGGTATTTACATACTGGCCTTGTGACAATATTTTTCTTCTATCAGCCTGAAATTTTTTGACACTGGGAGATCTTCCATCCAGTACAATAAAGCTGCAAATTTTACAAAGGAAACAAACCCAAATCCTGATATGTTAATAACTGCCACCCTTAGAAATGCTGCAATTTGAACAAAAAGAAAGTAGTTAATTTATCTTAGCATATCTGACAAGCTCAAATTCATTAGTATTGTTTTAAAACTGCAACAGAAAAAAAGAGAGGATGAAGACGCAACTTTTAATTGAAGGAGACACAACACATCTTTAAATTATTTGTAGTTAAATCAAAAATACAAACAAAACAGGGAAAATACTGTACTATGCATGGCAACTGAGAGTGCTTCCACTGCCAAATCCCACAACTATTGTAATTCCTTATTAGCAAAGCTGGGATTAATAAAGTTGTTGCTTTATATGGGTTTGAGGCTGCTGTAACCCCTTAGGACAGGAGACCGCATCCTTCCTTCCTCGGACACCGGCGCCGGATGGAGCGGTGTCGGGGTCAAGGAGCTCTGCCAAGTCCACTCCGGCAAGGGGGCGGGAGGTCAGGGCTCCCCCCTCCCGGGGCAGCGGCAGCAGCCCCGGGTGCCACCGAGGGTCCTTCCCCTCCGCATGGGACCTGTTTCGAGTTAATCTCCTTGTTGGGCTGCTCTTGAGCATTCCCAGAACGTCAGGGAGGCTCAAAGAGATTTTTTTTACCTTGATCCCAAATTGCTGAGAAATGCTTTTATCCTTCCAAAAAGGCAGGTTGCTTTCTTGGCTTCTTCTATTCTTTTTTTTTTTTTTTAAGTGCCTTAACCAAAACCAACCTAGATGAGGAATCAGCCCTACAGGTTGTAACATTTAGCCTGAGATGAGCCGGTTTCCAGCACGTAACTGCCTGATTCTAACATGCCAGCGCTGCAGAAAGGCGGCACTCACGCTTACCCCCTCTTGCGATGCAGCCGCTGCCTGTTTCCCCGTCGGCAGCGTGCCGCGGAGGCGCGCCTGGATCCGCTCCCTTCCACGCAGGCAGCACTTACGGCCAAGGACCACGGAGAACCCGCAGTATTACACATGTAATTACATACCTACTTACAAATGTAATTAAATCTCACAATGCGACGGCACTGAGCAGTTATACATTTGACTGTGGCTCTGCAGGGCTGGGCTGACCCTGTTTAATTTTAAAGCAAAGACCATCCTTAGCTATCGAACGTGCCATTCGGTTCCCCCAGCCCCTTCCCCTCCATCACAGGCTCACGTTGATGCCCTCATCTATCAAGGCCAACCGCAGCCAGCAAATCCCGCTTGTTGCTTTGGGCTGAGACTCAAGATATCGTCCCCCCAGTCTGCTGTGCTTAAGGGCAGAAAGGTAAAGCTCTTGCCTCTAGTCCCACTGCAGTGGGACAAGAAGCAGAAGAAAGTTCTTGGTTTGGGCTCACGTAGCAGCCGCGTACGGGCTCGCGTGGGAACAGCCCAGGCTGGCCAGCCGGGTCTGCTGCGGTTGATGCTTTTTAGCAGCAGCCTAATTCTTATCCTGAAGTAGAAATGGGGAAAAAGGAGAAGCGAGGCACAGAAATCTGGCGTGCGTTAATAATTCACTCCCAGGTGCTATAGCATTGCCATCCTTCACCTTATCAGCGCTGACACTATCACGGTGTCACTGGGGGCAATGCTGTGCGACAGGCAAGATAACTCAAACGACAAGCAAGACTGAAAGTCTAAAACAGCAGCAGACACACCACAAATAACACACGGTTCCTTGGCATTTGTTTTGACAGAGGGAGAGAAATGCATTTGATAAGAGCAGCGCTGGCGACGGAGCCTCTGGGGACACCATCAGTAAGGGACCCTTCCTCCCCACCGCTGCAGCCACCTCTCCGGCGTATAAACCTGAAGTACGTAAAACAAAACACAGCGATAGAGAAGTGATTTGCATGTATCAGAAATTCGTTAAAAGGCTGCTGGGGGAGGAGAGCGCTCTGTGTGTGTGTTCCTCCCAATGCCTTCCAGATGCTGCGAGCACGGGTGTAGCGCGGCACAGGTTTCCCGGCGAGAAAGCCGTGTTTACTCGGGAAGGGGTGTTGAGGCAAGAGCAAAGACCCAGAGCAACGTGTGAACCACTGCGGCGCTGAACACAGGCACCTGCGATGCTGCAAAGCTTTCTGGTTTCTTTTTGTGCCCGAGTTGACCGCTGCCCAGGGGTGCTGGGGGCACCCGACACCCCGTCCAGTGGGTCCCGCTGCGCAGCACCCAGTGGGGGCTGGGAGAGAGCACCCGGGGCACATCACCGGGGTTAGAGGATACTTGCCCAACACAGGCATGCCCAGTGTTTTCCCACTGCAGCCGTTTCCTACGGAAACATCGCGGCGGTGTCAGAGCCCGGGAGGAGGGATAAACATTCCAGCATCACTTCACCCAGCTCATTTCGCTGGGGATTTTGAGCTTTACGCTTTGCTTCGTGGCTGCTTTGCAAGAAGCATCATCCTAGGAAGCAGCCAGGAGTTCCCCTACATAGAGAACTGTGAACTCCTGACACACACACACACACACACACAGAGAAAAATGAGGCTCCAAGTCAGATGCAACTAAATAAACAGGCCCAAAGCAGATGTACGGTGAGAGGAACAGAGCCCTTGCCTCCAACAAGCCCCATTTCTGGATACCTCTGTGAAACATAAAATTTTTTAAATAAAAAAACGATTAGCAAATACTGGCTTTATGTGTCAGCACAAGGTGCAATATAATAAACCTTCTGCTTCCCTCACACCTCCAGCAGCCGGAGAAAAACTGTGCTGCAAATGCGTTTTGAAATCAGATTGGGGAAAATTAATTCCATAATTCACGGGGCAGATTTGTAATGTGTGACTGCGGGGCGACACTCGGCGGGGGCTGCTGAATGAATTCTGGGTCGCCAGCTAAGGCATGTTCTCTGGCTCGTATCTACCAGGTTTTATGAGGGCTGGTAACAGATTCTAAAAATATGCACAATAAACTGTTTTTTCTCCCTAAGGGGTCTATGGTTTAATTATGTTCTTAGTGAGAACCATTAAAGTGCTAAGTACCTGAAGACTCCTAATTTACTAAACTATACGCTACTAAAACCCAACAGAAGGCTATTATACACCAGAGTAAACGCTCTTCTCTGGGACTGTAAATGCACATGGTCTCTCCTCTCGGCCTCCTTATTGGTATGGCATTACATAAACTCCGACGGAGTATTTAATCCCAGTGTTAGATACCCCAGCTCAGCCCAGGGAAATCTCCAGGCTCTCCTACATGTGTGCATGAAAACAAGTCCCACATTGTCCTCGAACAACCCACTGCTCAGACAGGGCTGGGGACGTTATTCTTATAGCGTGAGCGGCACAACTCCCATGCAAGTAACCGTGCGGCACAGGAGTGCGTAGCTGGAGGGTAGGGAATCACAGAATCATAGAATCATTAAGGTTGGAAGAGACCTCTAAGATCATCGAGTCCAACCGTCAACCCAACACCACCATGCCCACTAAAAGACCCTGCCATGCCCACTAAAAGACCCTGTCCTCTCAAGATCACAAACGAGGAGGAGCCCAGAGATATATTGAGTAAGTTTTATCCTTTGCAATGATGGGTTTTTACCTTCCTCCACTCCACAATAAACTGCAGCATGGCTTCAGGAGCCTCTGTTGTACCTGCTCGCTCGGCGGAGCACCTAAACAGCTCAAACTCACAAGGCGTCCTTCAAAAAACAGTAGCGAGTTATGAATGAATCCGTTTCAGAAAGGTGAACAAAAAATCCATTATTCTTCCTGTTTGTATAAGGTAAACTTAGATTATCTATTGATTCAGATAACCAAAAGTATACTTGGCATTAATATTAAAACAACACTAAGGACAGCCTTTCAAAACATTGCCCTGGGTGCCTATCGCAGAAATCTGGCTTGGTGAAAAACAAAGCAAGCTATAAATATTTCTATGCACTCTAGATACTATCATTTCTTTTTCCATTGAAAGGCACCTACTCAACCGAAATACTCAAATCTGAGTGCATTTAATGGCAGAAAAATCTTGAAAAACAGAAGGAAATGGAACAGCAGCAAATATGAATAAACGATGAGAGGAAGCAAGTATTTGGTCAAAAGAAATAGGATTAACTTGGCCCAACGGACACTTCATTAACAGCTTGCGGGCGCTGGGGGCTCCAACAGTGAAAAGAGAAGGAAGCCTTTGGCACAAACAGAAAGGCGTGAAGAAGAGTGGTACCCTGGAAAACCAGGCTGAGAGGTATTATTGAATGTTTTCCTGAGCGTTTGTGGAAGGTACAGATGAACTGTAAAGCACAGTTCTCCAGCTTCCCAAGGCACTGAGGCATGAACTCATCTTCTCAGCTTCATCAGCTTCAAAGAAAAGCTCTCAGTT